CCCCCGTGTGCTTCAAAGACATTCCTGCGACTGTGGGCAGGAGCGCACGTGCCCTTGGCGTCCCCACCGGTGGAAGCGCACTGCGGGCTCACATGTGCGCACCGGAACCTGAGGCTCAGTTTCATCCGGAAGGCATGGCTGGCCGGATCCTCCCACGTGCTCCAGCGGGACAGACACCAGCGCCCTGCAGGCGTGTCCCAAAAGTGTTTGTGACCTTCAGTGGGTGATATGCCCCCGCGCTGTGCACAGTGCTGTCCTCGTGCAGGGGACTGTGCCTGGTGGCCCCGATGTGGGGGTTGGATGCCAGGCTTCATGGACAGCTGCAAAGGGCGCGGGAGAGCACCAGGCGCTTGGGGGGATCTGAGGCCCCACCTTCTCGCCCAGCCCCTGTTTCCCTTCTGCTAAGGAATGACTTGTCCTCAGGAGTAAGGCCCCTGGGGGAGGTACAGACAGAAACCCAAAGGAAACCAGCGACCCCTTGGTTAGAAATGGGGCCCCAGGAGTGATGATGGTAAATCAGGATAGCCAACAGCACCCACCCACCTGTGCAGGTAAGCTATCTCCCTAAACGCACCTAGACCTCAAAGGAATCAGCCCTCAGTGCCCTGCTGGTGCCGGGGGGGGGGGGGGGGGGGGGGGGTGGGGGGGGGTGGGGGGGGGTGGGGGGGGGTGGGGGGAGAGGAGGGACACACGAGCCCAGAGGCTTCCCACCAGTCACCCAGCCCAGCCCAGAGGCCTCCTGGGTGCTGGAGGTTGACAACTTGCTTCAAAGCAGAGCCGGGAACCGCCCTTGCGCCTCTTTGTCCAAAACTGGGAGCAGAGACCAAGGGAGATGAAAGGGAAGCACAGACCGGGGCGCACGCGCAGCTCCCTGGACCCAGGACCCAGGACCCAGCCACCGACGGGCCTCCAGCCAGTCCCGCTCCCCGGGCCGGCTTTGGCTCCCGGGCTGCCCGGCACGCGTCGCGGACACGCAGCGAGCTCGCTGGCAGCGGGCAGCCGGCTTAGCACCCCCCAGCGGCCGTCGGCGCGGCCCCGCGGTCGCCGGCCGGGGCGCGAAGCCCGCTGGTGCGGCTGGCGCCGCGGGCCCGTGGCATCCTCGAGGACCCCGCCCCCCGCGCGGCTGCAGCCACCCGGGGTTCTGCGCGCCGACGTGGGCGGATCAAAGCGGCTGCCCGCGCCTTATAAAGCCGCTTGGCCGGCGGCGCTGCAGACCGTGCGGCGAGAGCCCGAGAGCGCCAGGCAGCCGCGCGCCCCAGCCCAGCGCCCGCGGAGTCCGCGCCGGAGCCCCCGCCGAACCCGGCCGCCCGCCCGCCGCCCGCCACCCGCCCGGACCCCGGCCCGGCCTCCCCTCGCCGCTTCGCCCGGACGGCGCCTCCCTGGCCGCCTGCCCGGTCCACAGGGCGCTCGGCTCCACTGGGGGCCCGCCCGGGCCAGCGGGGCGCACGGAGCGAGCGCTCCAGGAGGTGAGCCGAGGCGGGCGGCGGCGGCGGGCGGGCGAGGGCAGGGGTGAGGCTGGGCGGGGTGTCCCGTGTCGGGGGGTCCCGAGCGGCATAGACCCCCCGCGCAAAGCGAGAGAGCCAACCGAGCGCGCTGGAGCACGCGTCTTCACGGCAGGCACCCCGAGGAATGCCCGTTCGGGAGCGCGGCCGCGGGGCTCCGGGGGGCGCGGGCTCTCCGGGACGCGCGATGGAGCGGGGCTCTGCGCTTCCCGAGCTCCGACGCTGGCTCGCCCGGCCCGGTTCCGCCCGATCCGACCCCCTCCTTCGCAGCCGGCCCGCGGATGAGGTCACGCTGGAGCCTTCCCGCGGGTGGGGGACTTGGATCCCGCGGGCGGGCGGAGGGTGTGTGCGGAGAGACGGTGGCAAACGGCGGAGCCCGCCGTGGCAGCGCGCGCCAGATGCGGGGGTGCGGGGTGGGAGCCCGCGCTGGGCTCTGAGAAACGCTCCCAGGAACTCCGGCGAGGGAGCCGAGCCCAGAGTTTGTTTACAGACCTGAGCTCCAGGGTGGGGTGGGGGTGGGGGACACGAGGAGAGCCCCTCCCGGCCCCCGCCCCGGCCCCCCGGGCCCCACACCTCCACCTCCGGGCCCTGACGTGCCCCCGAGACTCGAGAGCAGGGGCGGGCTCCAGAGGACTCGTGGACGGTCCCCCGAGTGCCCGCACCCCACCCTCCCCACTTTCCAAATAACGCGTCTCGGGGGCCAGCCGGTGCGTGGTTCGCAGCCGAGCTGGGAGTCACTCGTGGCCGGGCCCGGGGCTGGGGGCAAAGGCGACTTGCGGGCAGGGCCTTGCAGGTAACCTTGAGGCGGCGGCGCGGGCGTGCGCGGCTCACGGGGTCCCGGCGCTGCTCAGCGCCGACCTTAGTCGCGGGGAGGACACTACCCCGGCCAGTGCTCCGGCGCGCGAGGGGCCGCTCGGGCCAGACCCGGCTTTTGGGGTCGGGAGGTGCGGCCGGTGCCCACCCGCTTGGCTCGCAGGGAGCCTGGCAGTGCTGGCAGCGGGGCGTCCAGAGTCCTTCCAACCACCTGTTGGAGGGGGTTGCGCACAGCCGGGCCGGTGCCCTTTCTCCGGGACTGCAGGCGGAGGGAGCGGCTTAGACGGCCCATCAGGGGCAGGGCCCGGGGGAGGAGAAGGGGCCCTAGGTTCTGCCCAAGACCCTGTCGGTGCGGCGCGCCCACCCGGCCTGCTAGCGACAAGTGCGTGACTTCTCAACGTCCTGAGCGCAGAGGGCACTTGCCCGCACGCCTGACCCCACCCCCAGGCGGGGACACGGAGGCCCAGGCCCGGGAAGGCACTTGCTGAGCGGCCTCACGGTGCGCAGCCACTGCCGGAACCGCCTCGAACCCCGGCTCAGCGCCCTCTGGCGGGCCGGGGGCGCCCCGAGAGCCGCGAGGCGCAGGCAGAGCGAGCGGCTGACCTGGGCGCGAGAACCCTAAGTGGGTTGACTCCGTGGGGACCCAGAGGTCCGGGCCGGATGCAGCAGCCCCAGAAAGAGCCAGAAGCAGATAGGGAGGGGTTCCTTCTGGCTTTGGGGCTAGACCACCATCTCCCACTAGTTCATTCCCCACCCCACCCCCAACTTCATGCAGCTCCTTCCCGCTTCCCAGAAATGTTGGGGCTGTCAGGAGAACCCCACTTGGGGAGGGGTGTGGCAAAGAGCCTGGCAAGAGTTTAGAGTTTCCATTCCCTCCATCCCCCACCCCAGCCTACCCAGCCTCTTCTGGATCCCGAGAAGAACGTCTTTAGAGCCAGGGAAACAAGGGCCTGGATACGGGCTGGGTGGGAAGGGGCGCTCAGTGCCGCCGACCCCTCCTTGGCACCCTCCGTGGCTCTGACCAGGCTGGCCTGTAGTGAGTGCCTCTGTGCTGGGCACTTGATTCCGGGCTCTGGAGGAGGGGAGGTGTAATTCCGTGTTTCCTCCCTGCCTTCCTCTGGGTCATGTTGGACATTCCACGAGCAGCGGGGGTCCAGATCTGTGTGTGTGTGTGTGTGTGTGTGTGTGTGTGTTCGCACACCCCACGCAGGTGTGGGTGAGAGTGGAAAGTTGGCTGGGCGGGAGCCTAGTGCAGCCGGGAGGGCACTGCCTGGCGGGCGACGACCTGGGTTCCCTCTCCAGCACCCCATCACCCGACCCCCGAGCGCAGAGCCAGGAGTAGGGCCTGGGCACCGCCGGGTATGGCCCCAAACACGAACAATAGCGGAATGGTGGGTCGCGAGCGCTCAGGCTGGCAGACTGCAGGGAAGCTGCAGGACCTGCGGGGACGCGTGGGTGCAGTCCAGTGTCGAGAAGGGGAAACTGAGGCCGCGCCAGCTCACGCCGCTCCCTCCTCGCTGCAGTGCCCCCAACCAAGGAGCGCGCTGCTTGACCGGCGCCCCCACGCCGTCTAGAACCGGCCCTCCCGAGAGGGGGCGGGACTGTGGGTATCTCCGTGCCGACACCAGGTGTTGGCACAATCTGTGGGAAGCTGGGGAAGGAATGAAAGTGGTGAGAATGAAGAAGAAAAACTTGAAAAGAAAAGAAAGAGCCGGAGAGCGCAGCTCCGGGGCGCCGGCGCGGGCGGAGTCTCCGCTGCTCCGTGGCAACCGGGCGCCGCCTGGCGGCCGGACGCCTGACGGTGCCAGCCCGTGCGCTTCCCGGCGTGGCCACCCCGAAGCCCCCCATGCCCCGGCCACCCCACCACCACCACCACGCGGACTCGGGGACCCCGGGCCTGAACGGCTTTCTCCGTGCAGAGACCGTCGCCTTCCACTGAGCGTCCTCCCCTGATGCCCGGAGCGAGTCCCCTGCATCTTGTCTTCTCGGGGCCGCTGGGTGGTCGCGGAGCCGGACAGTCCGGTTCCGTGGATGGTGAGCCTCGGGTTTCTCGTTTGCGAAACGAGGGAAGCGGCGGCATCCCGTTTTCTGGGGCTGCGAGGAGGAGCCAATGCCACCACGTTCCGGAAAGGCTCTCAGTAAACCCCAATTACTGCAGCGCGCCCCGTTGGAGAGGGGGTACCCTGACGTCCAGAGGGGCGGGAGAACGCAAAGGCCAGCGTTGCCGAGTTCACCTGGCGCAGGACGCCGAATGCGCGGTCCTTCCCGCCGCCCGCCCGCGCCCCCGGGCCCGCTCCTTTCCGTCCCGCCCGAGGTGCGCGTCCCGGTGCGTCTCTCCCAGTCCTTTTGGCCCCGGGGTCCTGGGCGTCTCTGCTCCCCTCGCCGCCTTTGCCCTAGTGCCCCACTTTCCGGGGTCCAGGCGGGCCTCTCCCCGGCAGCCGGACCCCGGGCCAGCCCGCCTGGCGCAAAGGAGCGGCGGTCCGCGCTGCCCTCGCCGGACCCGCCCTGGCCGCGCCGCACCTAATTCGAGCCAGACGGCGGCGGCGGCGTCCCGGGCGGGCCCGACCCCTCCTTTGTAATCTGAAGACAGACGCCCCCCGCGCCCGCGCCGCGCTCACGCCCCCCGCTCTCCCCGACTGCAGGCGGCCGTGTGCGCCCGCGGGATCCGGTTGCTGGACGGTGCGGGCCCCGCGCCCGCCGTGCCACCATGAGGGCGCGGCCGCGGCTCTGCGCGGCGCTGCTCTTCGCCCTGGCCTTCCACACCGGCGTGTGCTCCGGCATCAAGTGGCTGTAAGTAGGGGCCCTCGGGGGCGCGCCCTGACCCGGGAGCCCGAGTTTGAGTCCGGGGGGGAGGGAGGGAGCTACCCCAGGGAGACTGTCCTTACCGCCGGGGGTCAGACGGGATGTGGAGAGCGAGATGCCCAGAGGCGCAGGGCAGAGGGTTCCCCGGGAACAGACCTGCGGGACAGGGGGCGCACGCTTTGACTCAGAGCCGGGACAGGGGTTCTGTGCTCAGGACTGCTTCCTCTGCCACCTCGGGGCAGTGTCCAGCATCGTCCCGGGGCCTCTGGGTCATCCATCCAAGTAGTTAGAAGCCTGGACCTCAGCTCAGACCCAGCGGGGAGCAGCCTGTGGAAGAGCCCCGGTGGAAGAGCACACGTGGAGGTTGGGCTCTGGGCTAGATATTCCTGGTGTGAGGGGGGGTCTCCTCTCCACACCCCTCCCCTGTTGGAGCTGCCCTCCTCTGATCCAGAAATCAGCCCCGACAACAAATAACTCCAAATGCACCCCCCTCCATCCCTTACCTGTCCAGTTGGCGGGGGCCCAGGGAAGGGGAGGTGCCTGATTGGGGGGGGTCTATATTCTGGGAAGATTTCTCACGGGGAACCCTTGGCCAGAGTGAGGAGTCTCCGGAGGAGTTTACGCATTGCAGGGGGGGAGGATGGGTTCCAGAGAGGGGCGGGTGCCTGCAGAGAACACAAGCCTGGCACTGGCTGTGGGGGCAGGGAGGAACAGGGAGGAAGGTCAGTGGATTAGCTCTCGGCCAGGGTAAGACTGGCTGGGCCACCCGCAGACAGAATCCAGGTCACTGCCCCGGTGAGACTGAGTTATTGATTAATTGATGGTTCAGGATGGGGAACCGCTTCTTGCCTGTCCTGTTTGGAAGGAGATGCCTGGGCAGTGTGTGTGAGTGTGAGGGGCTCTTCCAGGACCCCTACTCCCCACCCTGGTTCCTTTGAGAACCCCACAGACACCAGCCTTCTGCTGCCGGGGTCTGGAACTGTCCTGCTGTCCACTTCTGAACCGAGTCCTGGCCCTGCTTGCTCGGATAGGGAAAGGGGGGTCCAGGGAGGGAAAGTTTCAGCTGCAGAACACAGGGCAGGCGGGGGGGGGGGGCAGGGGTAAGGTGGGTCCCCCCTAGTGGACCAGACCCCTGTGGCCTCGTGGATGCTGCGGCTCCACACCAGGCCTGCACATTGCCCTGCGCTGCCACGTGGCAGAACAGATGGCAGCCACACTGTCCCCAGCCACAGGGGATAGCCCAGCTGGAAGCTGAGCACACAGATGAGAGGGGGTGAGAGGGAGGGAGGGAGGGAGAGAGGGAGAGAGAGAGGGAGATAGAGAGACAGAGAGAAAGAGAGAGGGAGAGAGGGGAAGAGAGATAGAGGGAGGGAGTCAGGGAGAGAGGGAGAGAGAGGAGGAAGAGAGAGAAAGGGGAGAGAGGGCTGGGCGGGGGGCTTGTGGCAGGCAGAGTGTGTGTGTGTGTGTGTGTGTGTATGTGTGTGTGTGTGTTTGTCTCGAATGTGTGGGGCCCTGGCTCCATCCCAGCACCACAAAAAAGAAAGACAAGGAAAAGGAAATAGAAAAAACAAAACCCAAACCCAGCAACTCCCAAGCCATAAGTCCTACTCGGTGGACTTTGTGCCGTGTCCTTGGGAGAGGACCACGCCAGCCAGCCATGGAGCAGCAGGCAGGTCTGTCCAGGGAGGGCCTGGATGGGGCTCCAGGGGTGGGAGGAGGAAGGAGGAAGCAGGTGAGAAGGCAGAGGTGGGGGTGGGTGTAAGGAGAAGCAGGCAGGTGTCAGCTGCTGAGGGCCCAGCCCCTGTTCCAGGGCTTCACTTAACTGTGTATCACAAAGAGGAGGTGGGAGATGGTCTTATCACCGCCATCCTACAGATGAGGAGTCTGAGGGTCATAGTCTCAGCGATGAAGCCGAAGTCACACAGCTAGTTGGAGCTCAGCCCAGCAGGAAGTCAGCCTCATGCTGGAGCTTACAGGAGAGAGGGGAGCAGGAGTCTGAGAATAACTATGATGGGGACCAGAGAAATGGCATGTCGGGCAAGGCACTTGCCTGGCTGTCGCAGACCTGGTGTAGATCCCCAGCACCCCATATGGTCCCCCAAAGCCCGCAGGAGTGATCCCTGAGTGTAGAACTAGGACTAAGCCCTGAGCACTGCCAAGTGTCACTAACCCCGCCCCCAAGAATAACCACTGTGTGTGCGTGTCTGTGCATCTGTGTGTGTGTGTGTGTGCCAGCCAATGCCAGACTCTGATTTGAATGCTTTATGTATATTGTTTGATGTAAATCTCCCTGTGGGTCCAGAGAGATAGTAAAGGAGAAAAGGTACTTATTTACCTTGCATGAGGCTGACCCCAGTTCAATCCCCGGCACCCCATATGGTAGCCTACGCCCTATGAGGAGAGATCCCCGAGTACAGAGCCACGAGTAAACCCTGAGCACCACTGGGTGTAGCCCAACCTCCTTTTCCGAAAACCCCCCTGGGGAGGGTGGGGATAATTCTCTGGGTTGCATGTGGGCTGTGCATGCTGGAGGCCTGGGTGTGATCCCAAGCACGGCATGGTCCCTTGAGCACTGCTGGGTGCACCCACCCCCAAACAGCAACAACAGAATTCTCCCAGCTGCCCTGTGAGGGGTGTCCTGCTTCAGCTCCCGCCATGCAGGGAAAGGGGGCAGAGAGAGAGAGAGAGTTCAGTGGGCTGGGCTGAACTTTGCACGTGGGAGGCCTGGTTCTGATCCCTGGGACAGCATGGTGCGCTGAGCATGGCTGGGTCAAACCTGCCACACAGAACCCCAGAGAACCGTCTCTTAAACACCACTGGATGTGGCCCCCAAAGAAACAAAAATGCAGAAAAGAGCCAAAGCAATAGTACAGCGGGTAGGGCATTTGCCTTGCACCTGGCCGACCCGGGTTCAATCCGCAGCACCTCATAGGATCCCCAGAACCCACCAGAAGTTATTCCTGAGTGCAGAGCCAGGAATAAGCCCTGAGCATCACTGGGTGTGATCCCTAAACCCAATCCAAACCAAAACAAGAGAGTAAAGCAGAAAAAGCCAGGGAGGTCCTGGGCAGCAGAGGCCCCTGTGAGAGGGGCTGGTATCCCGGGACTCTACTTCCCTGGGCAACAGAGGACAAAGAGGTGTTTGACACAGCCGGACTGCAGAGATGGCAAAGCCAACACTGAGACCCTCTGGCATGGGTAAGGGAGAGAGGGCATCAATGGGCCGGGTCAAAACCAGCCTGGGGATCCCACCCAGACCCTGGGTGTCCCACGAGTGCCCCTTCCCTGCCCCCTTAGTGGCAGCCTGGCCGGGCAGTGGGTTTCCTCTTTCGGAGGGGAACTTGCAGGAAGGGAGGTCAGCCATCCGGAGTGGACCCCAGATCAGCCAGGAGAATTGGGTCACAGCCTTCGTGTCCCTCTGGCCCCCGCGACCCTGTTGTCAGGTCTCTCTGAGCCTGTTTGCTTCCCTCTAAAATAAGGGGGGAGGAGCAGGGAAGGGGCGCTGCAGGCCAGGAGGCCAGCGGTAGCTTAGCTCCGCCCCCACGGCCAGGCCCCGCCCTTCCTTGCCCCTCACCTGGACATGAGGAAGCCCAAGGGGAGGTTGGATGGGCGGCCGAGGCGGAGCCCGTGGCCTCCCCGTGCCCGCGGAAGCCCCACTCCTGAAGGGGAGACCACCCCGGCGCCCCCCGGACACAAGCCTGGGCGCCTGTGAACTCTCGGTCCCCTCCTGTCCTCTCGTCCACCTTCTCCCCCGTGTCCCCACCCCCAGATAACCAAAATGTTTTCAATTAGGGTCTGCAGCGGGCCAGTCGGGATGTCCAGACGGTGACTCCCCCTCCTCCTCTCCTTGATTGCCTCCCCGAGGGGGCCTACTTAGAGACGGTCATTACCGCTAATTACCAGATGACCGCATCGCCCCCCCTGGGTGGAATGCTCGGCTGTCTCCCGTCCCCCACCAGCCCACGCTCCACCCCACCACCGGCTCAGGCAGCTCCCTGGGGCTCCAGACGCTTCCGTCTGCTGGGGAGCATCTCTCCTCGCCCTGGCCTTGGGAGGCTGACGCTTGGCCACCCTAGCGGTGGACAGACGGACCCTCGGATGGCCAGTGGCTTCAGCTAATGACCCGGTGCAGAGCTTAGGGACCTTAACCATCGCATTGCAGGGGGGATGGCCTGGTCCCAGCTGGCCCCGCAGGGGGTCCGGACCCCCCCACTTCTGCCTCCCCTTCATGTGAGCAGGGATCCTGGGACACAGCTGGAGGCCGGTTCACGCTGTGGGGTCCCTAGGGACCAGGTGCACTCAGGCACTGTGGCATCTCACGTCCCCCTCCCTTGGGAGGGCAGGACCCGGCTTGGGGGGGGGGGTGCGGATCAAGAGCAGCTGAGGGTGATGGCATCAGGGGCTTAGCACCCCGCCTGGGGGCAGCAGTGTCCCCTCACTACAGAAGGGCACAGTCCTCTGTGGGCTGGCCCTGTGCTGCCCTGGGAACGGGATGACCCATGTGGGCAATGCTCACTTGGGCAGGGGGTGCTGTTCAACTGGGGTGACGCCGGCACAGGCTGCGAGAAGGGGCCCCGGGGTGGGGGCCAGGAGGACGGGCAGTCCCATTAGAATACGGAACATCTGCTCCCCCCCCCCCCCCGCTCCTCCAGACGTGCACCCAGGTTCGCCAAACGTCTCCCTGCTTGGGGTCTGGGAGTCGGGGAGGGGTCAGTGGGGGCAGAGAGGGGGCTCAGCCCTCAGAGTCAGTATCCAGAGCTGGACTGGGGCAGGGGACCGCGTGACCTCTGAATGGGTCATCCTACCTTCTCCGTGTCTGCTCCCCATCTGGGTATGGCTTTTGTTTCATTTTTAGTTTGGTTTTGGGGACACACCTGGCAGGCTGGGGAGACCATATACGGGGCCGGGCTGGCCCTGAGTTGGCCGCGTACAAAGGACGCACATTCTTCGCTGTACTGCCCTGTTGCTCTCCTCTCCGCCCCCCCCCTCCCCTTTCCCCCTCTCTCCCCTCTCCCCCCCTGTGGCTTCTGTTCTGGAGCTGAAGGAGGGGTGAGGCAGGGCAGAGAGAGGCAGCAGGAAGCGCCTAGATTCTCGTCCTGAGCTGTTTATGCTCTTGGCGGCTCTGGTGTGTCGTTGGCGCTCAGAGAGGGCAAGGACTGAAGTTGCACAGCACAGGGAGGGGAGTATGTGAACTGGAAACCACATCTGTCACCCCTGCAGGCCTAACTGAGCAAGGGTGCTCCCGCCCGAGAGTGCTCCCAGTGCTCTGCACACTCTGTTGTTGAAGTCTGGCTTCACTTTTTTTGTTGTTTGGTTTTTATGGGTCACATTTAGCAATGCTCAGGGGTTGCTTCTGGCTCTGCACTCAGGAATTACTCTTGGTGGTGCTGGGGGACCAGCTGGGATGCTGGGGATAGAATCGTGGTCATTTGTGCTTAAGGCAAGCACCCTACCTGCCATACTATCACTCCAACTGCTGGCTTCACTTTTTTTTTTTTTTTGATCACACTCAGCAGTGCTCCTGGCTCTGCACTTAGGAATTACTCCTTTCAGTGCTGGGGGATGCCAGGGATTGAACCCAGATCCGCCGTGTGCAAGGCAAACTCCCTACTCACTGTACTATCACTGGTCCCCTGGCTTCACTTCTTGGTTTTGGGGCCACAGCCAGCAGTGTGCAGAGATTACTCCTTGCTTGGTGCTCAGGGGACTATGCAGTGTCTGGGATCAAACCTAGGCCTTCCACACACATGCTGTAGTCCTGAGCACTCTCTCAGGCTCATTCCCGTCACCCTGCAAAGGGAAGTCACTCATTTGTGGAACATAAAGTAGCATAATAGGAGACTAACACCTAGGGACGGTAGAGATAAGGGCCAGGAGGATCATTCCACAGTTTGGAAGCCGTGTTATGTGCTGGGGGAAAAGACAGTTGGGATAGGGACCACTAAAATTCAATGGTGGCTGGAGGGATCGCTTGGGACGGGAGCTGTGTGCTGAAAATAGACTAAGGATCAAACATAATGACCTCTTAGCATCTGTATTGCAACTCATATCGCCCAAAATTAGAGAGTAAGAAGAAATGTACCTGCCACAGAGGCAGCCGGGGGGTGGGGGGGTCAGGGGGGAGGAAAACTAGGAACAATGGTGGTGGAAAATGTGCACTGGGGGAGAGATGGGTGCTCAATCATTGTATGACTGAAATGTAATCATAAAAGTTTATAACCATACCTCACAGTGATCCAATAAAAAAAAAAAGTGGAAATAATCTTATGGATTATTTCTCCGTGAGGACCAGAGAGGTTTAGTGCCTTGACCAGGTCGCACAGCTGGTGCCCAAAGCCTTTGCCTTTTCCCGGGATGGGCCCCCTGGGCCATTGCCTCTGAGCTCTCCAAGGCTTCTGCAGCCATTCATTGAGGACAGGACCTGTCATGTCGCTGTTGACTGAGCATAGGAAGTCAGTGTCCCGTGGGCCTGAGCGGTAGCACAGTGGGTCGGGCGTTTGCCTCGCACGTGGCCAATCCAGGCTCAATCCCCGGCACCCCAGATGGTCCTCCGAGCACCACCAGTACTCCTGAGCGCAGAGCCAGGGGTGGTGGGTGTTAACCTAAGACCAAAAAAGGAAAATAGTTTCCAGGAATAGGCCCAGAGGGAGAGGCAACTTATTATCTGAGGTTAATGGCAGAGTCCATGGCTCAGACACAAGACGGACGGGCCCGTCACTGCACTCAGTGTGCATGTGCCTGACCCAGGTCTGGCTTGCAGCACCCTCGGGTCCCCCCTCTCAGCCCCAGCATGGCAGAGTGCAGCCACGAAGCCCCCGTGACACTGAAAGGCCCAGGTAACCCTCGGCTCTGCAGGAACCAAGCAGATGGCCCCTTGGACCGGGGTCTAGACTCTCGGTTGTGTTGACTGAGAGCTCCCTGGCGGGCCCCCCTGCCTCGGAGCGCGCCCCGCCCTGTGAACCGAACAGCTCTGTAGTCCTCTGATAAAGCCCTTTGTGGGGTGGGGGGGATTTACAGCTTAGCAAATGAGTTTAATAATTACATGGCGCAATGATGAAATGAAAAACTCCCAGCCTGCTTATCTGCTCGGCCTGGGTTAATGGTCCGCTTGCTTGCAGACGGACTTACAATGATCGAGCACTCAGGGCCGTGTCTGTCTGGCACATTTAGTGCCGAGCGAACGTTGGAGAGGGTGGGGGGCTTATGTGAGAGGACGCCGGAGCTTAGTGAGCGGCGAAACTTGTGGGGTTCAGGTCGTCAGCAGAACACAGCTCCGGGCGGGTGGTGAGCCTTTGTCCCAGCTAGGCCCAGAGAGGGACAGCACAGCGCCCAAGCTCACACAGCAGCAGAGCACTGCCTCCTGGTCTCCTGCCTGTAGGAGTTCCCAGCCCCCCTTCTGCCCCCCAGGGAGAGGCCGGGACCCACGCGCCCTCACAGCCTGTCCTTCTGCCACTGGCTGTGGCCTTCCCCCTGCAGGGCGCTGTCCAAGACGCCGGCGGCGCTGGCCCTGAACCAGACGCAGCACTGCAAGCAGCTGGAGGGGCTGGTGTCGGCGCAGGTGCAGCTGTGCCGCAGCAACCTGGAACTGATGCGTACGGTGGTGCACGCCGCGCGCGAGGTGGTGCAGGCCTGCCGCAGGGCCTTTGCAGACATGCGCTGGAACTGCTCCTCCATCGAGCTCGCCCCCAACTACCTGCTTGACCTCGAGAGAGGTAAGGGGCCAGTGGGGCGCGGGGTGGGCGAGAGCGGGGCGAGGGGGGGAGGCGTGGGCACGGGGTGCGTGGAGACACAGAAGGAGACACGGAGGGAGGCGGGGCAGCGCCACAGGCCGGAATCATTGAACAGAGACGCACAGCGTGTGAGGTGTGAGGCGGCGTGTGAGGTGTGGGACGGGGTGTGAGGTGTGGGGCGGTGTGGGAAAAGTGGGACACGGTCTGAGGTGTGGGACAGCGTGTGAGGTGTGGGATGGTGTGTGAGGTGTGGGACAGTGTGTGAGGCGTGAGGCGGTGTGTAAGGTGTGGGATGGGGTATGAGTTGTGGGATGCTGTGTGCGGTGTGGGACTGTGTGAGGTGTGGGACTGTGTGAGGTGTGGGTCTCTGTGTGAGGTGTGGGTCTCTGTGTGAGGCGTGAGTCTCTGTGTGAGGTGTGGGACCGCATGTGAATTGTGGGGCTCTATGTGAGATGTGGGGCCTCATGTGAGGTGTGGGATGGGGTGTGAGGTGTGGGGCAGGGTGTGAGGTGTGGGACAGTGTGTGAAAAGTGGGACACTGTGTGAGGTGTGGGACAGCATGTGAGGTATGGAACAGTGTGTGAGGTGTGGGATGGGTGTGAGGTGTGGGGCGGTATGTGAAAAGTGGGACACTGTCTGAGGCGTGGGACAGCGTGTGAAGTGTGGAATACTGTGTGAAGTGTGGGACAGTGTGTGAGGCGTGAGGTGGTGTGTAAGGTGTGGGATGGGGTATGAGTTGTGGGATGCTGTGTGAGGTGTGGGACTGTGTATGAGTTGTGGGATGCTGTGTGAGGTGTGGGACTGTGTGAGGTGTGGGACTGTGTGAGGTGTGGGTCTCTGTGTGAGGTGTGGGTCTCTGTGTGAGGCGTGAGTCTCTGTGTGAGGTGTGGGACCGCATGTGAAGTGTGGGGCTCTATGTGAGATGTGGGGCCTCAGGTGAGGTGTGGGATGGGGTGTGAGGTATGAGATGGGGTGTGAGGTGTGGGGCTCAGTGTGAGGTGTGGATCTCTGTGTGAGGTGTGGGATGGGGGTGTGAGGTGTGGGGTGGGGTGTGAGGTGTGGGACAGTGGGTGAGGTGTGGGGCTCTGTGTGAGGTGTGGGATGGGTGTGAGGTATGGGACAGTGGGTGAGGTGTGGGATGCTGTGTGAGGTATGGGATGGGTGTGAGGTGTGGGTCTCTGTGTGAGGTGTGGGACAGGGTGTGAGGTGTGGGGCTTTGTGTGAGGTGTGGGACAGGGTGTGAAGTGTGGAATACTGTGTGAAGTATGGGACAGTGTGTGAGGCATGAGGTGGTGTGTGAGGTGTGGGATGGGGTGTGAGGTGTGGGATGATATGTGAGGTGTGGGATGGATGTGAGGTGTGGGACGGTGTGTGAGATGTTGGACAGTGTGTGAAAAGTGGAACACTGTGTGAAGTGTGGGACAGCATGTGAGGTATGGGACAGTGTGTGAGGTGTGGGACGGGGTGTGAGGTGTGGGGCTCTGTGTGAGGTGTGGGGTGTCATGTGAGGTGTGGGATGGGGTGTGAGGTGTGGGACAGTGTGTGAAGTATGGGATGGATGTGAGGTATGGGGCTCTGTGTGAGTTGTGGGACGGGGTGTGAGGTGTGGGTTTCATGTGAGGTGTGGGATGGGGTGTGAGGTGTGGGGAAGGGTGTGAGGTGTGGGTTTCTGTGTGAGGTGTGGGGCCTCATGTGAGGTGTGGGACGGGGTGTGAGGTGTGGGGAAGGGTGTGAGGTGTGGGATGCTGTGTGAAGTATGAGACGGGGTGTGAGGTGTGGGACGCTGTGTGAGTTGTCGGACGGTGTGTGAGTTTTCGGTCACACAGCACAGCCTGGATCGTGGCACAACCGCATATGCGCCAAGATGTGTGAGTGGAGGAGTGGGTGGGGTAGGGGCTCTGTGGAGGGGAGCACGTGAGGTGGGCAGTGGGGTCGGACAGATGCGTCAATGGGTGTTGCTGGCGATGCACAAACCGATGCAGGGACCAAAGGGCATCTGTGGAGACTTCCCGGAGGAGAGGGCCTCTAAGTTAGCTCTGGGACCCCCAAATACAAAAAGAGGTATTTCTGGGGCAGAAATGCACTTCTGGGGCTCCTCTGTGCCCTGCTGAGTCACGGCCAATCTTGGTACAGACCTGGGCGGAGGTCAGGGTTTCCCAATGATCTGACTCCGCAGCCAGCCCCAGGTAGGTGCTCGGAAAGCGGGTGACCTGCTTGGACAAACAGGGCCGGGAACTGGACAGGCTGGAGCATGTGCTTCGTATGTGGAGCCCCGAGGCTCCGTGCCTGGCATCTCATAGCTCTGAGCACTGGGCCGGGAGCAGCCCCCAAGCACCAAAAAGAGGCAAGAAAGAGAGATGGGCCAGCACTTGGACACCCCAGGCGCCGTCACTGAGGCTCCCACCTGTGGCCGTGGTCGAGACCACAAGTGTTCTTCAGGGACCAGGGCTGCACTTCTGCTGTGGGCAGGGCCGGGCTCCCGCTGAAAGTGCTCCTGCAAGGGAGAAGGGGCCCCTGTTCTGCTCACCTGCCGTCTGCAGCCCTGGCTTGGCAGCTGCCTCCCTCCTCTGTGCCCCCACCCGACGTGTGTCTGTGTGGCACTCTGAA